CAACTTGACACCTGTCCCGGAGTATGCGGGATGATGATTGCATGTGGCGGGTAAACTAGACAATCAAAAGTCCGGGGGTGCGGCGTCTTTTTCCGGGGCCGCGAGGCGAGGCGCACTTGTCTTCGGCGAAGCCGACGAGAGACGGGGTCCTCCTTGGAATGAGTACTGCCAGACATGCACGTGTTCGCCGCAAGACTGCGCTTGACCTCCGTAGCTAGCGTATTATCTATCTTGTTATCTATGACTATGAGCATCCATTTGCTTCTCTTGCGATATCTTGGACGCCAAGTGCACATCATCCTCACACCCCCGCTCCCCACGACCGGGGAATAGTCGTATGGTCCCTCCGTGGGTTGCTTCTAATCTGGCAGGACAAGCTCATCTAGTTAGAGGTTTGCGCCAAAAAGCCTTCCCCAGACGCAAGTATGGAACGGACCTTTTGTCTAAGCGTCATAGAATAATAAAAAAGAATATCCTCCTCCGCACGCCCCCCCTTTCCCCAGATTGCTCATCAATCTCGGCGCTTCATTTCACATGTTGACGCCACCACCAACTTGTAGTTGCTTGTTCTAGTTATTTCGTATCTTCTTCCAAATCGGGGATCATCCTGGTTATCGCCATCCATCCCCCCCCCTTCCCTTTCCCCCCGGCCAACTCCACCCCCACACTTTCGTCTTCTGTCGAGTTAATTATCCAGTGCTCATACATATGTACATTTTGCTCATCACCATGACATGGCTCTTTTTCTTTTTTCTTTTTTTTTCTTGTCATTTTTTGGACTCATTTTACCAGTAGATATCCACCCTGCGAAACTAACGAAAGGCGGGAATTGGAAAGGGGGAATCATCCTAGCACTCAGCACTTGGCCAGCGGCAAAAGTTTTATCCCCCCCAGAAAAGCCGATGCGGAGAGAAGGAAGTTCTTTCCTGATAACCCGCCGCCCCCTGCCCCGTTCCCTTTCGGGCAATACTACCCTGGTCATGGTTGGTTTCTCTCGCCGTACCAGACTGAAGCACCAATCAGCTTCATCGCTGCCCGACGGCTGAATGGCAAGGACACAGGAAGGACGCTCCGGGAGAGGAAAGCCTATGGCGGGGTCGGAAAGTCTGCTCCCCCGATTCTGCTGTCAAGTAAACAAAGTTGTGGCTTGCTTGCGTCTCTTGCCGCTGTATGCCGTCGTCGAACCAATGGCAGGGTCGCTGGCCAACGTTGCTGCGTTGGGGAGAGGAGGAACAAGGTTACAGTAGAGCGGCAGCCTAGTGCCGTGTTATCTAAATCCGCCCCCGTGCCGGCTGAACGTCTTGTCAACCAGGGCGAGAACTTATCTCTTGATGGTAACATCTCATCGACCCTGACAAGCACCCCGTTCAGCCAAATCAGCCGAGCTGAGCAATCGTGTGTTGTCTTGTGCAGTCTAGCATCCCTTGCCTTGTCATCCCATTGGCTCCCTCTTTTCCCTTTTTTTCATGTTCCACGGCGTAAACGCCAGGCCGGGCAAATAACGGCATCATCTCACCACGCCACGCAGTAGTCAAAAGAGGCTTGGCGAATAGACTACGCCATGACAAGAATTGCTGCATATTTCGAGCATAATGGCGGTCAGAGTTGACTCGCACCAGCTCTCCATACGTTATTGATAATTTAATCGAACGAGTGTGGTGTTTGCTGTTTACAGTACTTGCAGCCGCCTCTCCTGACCTGGTGCGGACGGAGTATGCCGATTCTTCGACTTCCTTGTTGAGAAATCGTGTCGTACGGAATTATGTCAATTTTTTGAATTCAAGATTTTTTGGTAAATCATACACTGGTTAAGTAAATGAAATCCTTCGGGAAGTGAGAAAGCTGCATCTCAGCTGCAGAAACACAGACGGACAGAGTTCTACATGCAAATGCACCCCATCCTGCTGAGCGTCCTTGGATGCGATCCCACAACAAGGATGAGCCCATGTCAATATGCACGGCCTTCTATGGAATCTCCCCGCAGCACAGGGCAACTTTGCCTCTCTATTTTTGTTTGCCTTTTCCCCCACGTTCCTTTGTCCTTCAGCTCCTTCCGCGATGCAGCCACGCAGCAATTGCAACCCCACGGGCAGCTAGCCTGCATAGCCCGCGCCAAGCTGCCGTGTACATGCGCAGTGCCGGGAAGGGAGGAGGTAGAAGCAAATAACAAGTCCACAGCCCGCCGAGAAGAAGGTGGGCTGGGCAGGTCCTGCCCCTGGGCAAAAAAGGGAGCCCGGCATCATCAATCGACGTGGGCTATACGCGGCGCCTGTTATGAGCCGCCACGCATCGTGGAGGTAACGAAAAAGAGGCAAACAATGTACACCGGAAAGCCGGCCGTCGCTCGTCGCTTTGTATTTATAGGATGTATTTGACCCATTTTGCTGCTCTGGAAGCAGTGATAGAGACTTGTGTGTGTTTAACATTTGCCAGATTTGGCCGTGATGGAGAAGCTCCGAAGGCAACCCCTCGGCGGCGGAGACGGGCTTGTTGTCGACAGAGTCATGGTCCCAGGCATAGCGGGCGCCAGTTATTAGCATACGGCTGCATCAAGGCACGCATCAAGGTGTATGTACGGCTTGCCCGTGTTCCTTGACCTGGTATTCTATATGGGTATGTTCCAACTATGGCAAGGGCCTGGCTCGAGCATGGAAAACGGGCAGACAAGGCTTCTCGTAGTTGTTCGTCCAGTGTATGTCTTGGTGCCAAGATGACGTTATCACTAGCATGCCGTCGTTGGGTTTTTGCGGCCCCCGAGACGACGAAACACTTGTTTCGACCCAGTCTTGCTTGCCATATTTGGAGAGAAGAATCAAAACTCAAAAAGGACGAAATGGATAAGAGGACAAAAGTACGGGTTGGCAAAGCGCTTGGCATTGTCTACATAGGCTGAAGCCTCTTCCCCCTTCCCATGTGGCTAGGACTTGCATCCATCTAGACCGATCCGTCTGCCGATCAAGTGTCCAACGACAAGTATGGGCGGCCGCGCGTTGTCGAGTTCAATATATCGGGGTAACTAGAAGGAGTGAGGAAGGGGAAAAAGGAGGACTGCACCACTCCGTCACAGAATCACGTTGTTTCACCTGCAGAGGTTGGATCATGGGGGCGGGGTCCCGTTGCCCGTTTTCGACATCGTCCATGTGCATGCGTACTGTAACTACCTTAATAACAACGTACAGTACCTCTAGCTATATGGACTATTTATTACTGGACTGTAAACGTAATACGTTCAACGGCGATGCCCGCCAAACTCGGCCGACGTCGCCATCACCAAACAAGGTACGTACTTTCCTTTAACTATTTCTTATTTATAACAGCAAGTCAAAAAATACCGCGTGAATGACTAAATTCGATCGATGGACGTCGGAGCCAGTCGCCAGTCCCACACGTCACCTGCTTCCTTCCCCCTGCCCTGTTCAAGCTGGGGCATGGCCATGTCTTTGCCTACTGATGATGCATCTATCTATCTAGGTATGTCTGTACGTTCTTACATCCGCTCGCTAGCCTCCGGTCTCCGGGAGGCGTCCAACGAGACAACAACATCCAGAGCTTCCCAACTTGAGTTGCAGCCCAGATTGCATCTTCATCTGAGCCGGCCGACCGCCTGCCATCGGCTCAACCGCTGCGCCCCTCCCCCTCTTCTAGCTACTACGGTTAAATACCTTGTAACATTACCTTCCCAATATCGCCCGGTCCAACTGTGCGACCGGTTCCGCCCATACATCCCGATATGTACCTATCTCTCTCTTTCTGATCATCTGTTTTTGATTCGTGTCTGTATAGGCTTCTCCTCATCGGAAGACTATTTGACTCCAGGGTGGCCTGTTTTCCCATCAACCGTACTGATCTCGGTAGATGAAGCCCGGGCAAGCCCCGAGATACAGGGCATCACCCGCCCACCCCCCTCTCCCAAGTACCTCCGTACCGAGTCACCGATTCTTCCACGTTAACTGTGATCGATAACTAGCGCTTCCACACCAGTAACTAGATTACTGGCGCACGTTAGCATGCTACCAAAAAAAACACAACCAAAAAAAAAAAAAAAAAAAAAAAAAAAAAAAAAAAAAAAAAAAGTAAAATAGTCGCCCCGATAAACATAAAACGGGATCCTCGGAAAGAGTTGGCGCCCGGTATTCGTGAAATGACGACATGCGACGAGAGAGTGGTGCGTAAACAACCTAGGAAGCCCACTGGGCGGACAAGTCCACTGAGAGAAAAAAAAAAAAGGCTTCTGTAACATGGGTCCCGGCCGTCTGACCTCCACACTCGACACCTTGGGCACCCCGTGGGCTGCCCACGTTTTCGACTAGTCACTCACTCCAAATCGTCCACATGCTCTCTCCCAGTCAGATTAGCTGAACAAGGCGAAAGTGGGCTATTTTGTGTTGGGTGAGAACCCGTGTGTGTGTGTGCATGTGGGAGGGAGGGTGTGTGCTGGATCATGGTGGCTGTGTCACGGTCTTGGGCTTTGGGCATGCGTCTGCCAGCTTACGCCTACAGTGGCTGGCTGCATGGGTCGAACAGTCACAACTTTCAAACAAGGGCTCAACTCTCATTCCATGTTCTGATATTGTTTGGCTGACTGACGCTTCTCGTACTGATTGCGCTGAGTTTATTCATGTAAATAAAAGTAGTAGTCCAAATATTATAGCTCCCATTCAGCAGCCAGACAAAATAAAAGAGAGTAAACGTAACAAATGCGCCAAGAAGTGGTGATGTCTAAGTCCCGTCCGTTCCATATAATTTCCTGTCCGTAATGTCCCAATGTTTTTGTGTTGCACAAGAAATGCGAGTCCCTAAAGCAATCTGAAAACAGAATCGAGGCCAATTCAAAAGCAAGATCTGTACTCGGGCGCCGTAGCGACCTGTCTCTGTGGCACTGCCGGTACAGAGGGGAAGCGGCCGTCCGTGTACAACCGTAAACGCCAGTGTCTATCCTTTAACCGTCTATGTTCCCAAGTCATCATAAAGTCGTCGCTGCGGCGGTTGTGAGGCGGCTCCTAGGCGCGATCCATCAAGTCACCGCCCGCGAGACTGCCAGTGGCCGAACTGCGGCCGCTGCTGCCATGGTAGCCCTGTTCAGAGAGAAGGTCCTGCACGGCAACCTTGGGGGCCTGCGGCACCGGAAGCTTTCTCTGATTGCCGTCCGGGCGGCTGAGGATGTCCGTCAGAGACATGCCGGTGCTGCGCTGCGCGCTGCTCTGCTGCAGAATCGGAGGGAAAGCAGGCGTCTCCAAATGAGGCTCCATGGGCGCCAGCGCTGGCGTCGTGTGCTGCAGGGACAGGTTGCGCAGGCTTGGCAGCTCGTAGCCAGAGAAGGGGCGAAGACGAGGCGAGTGCGCAGGCGTAGCAATGGGCGTATGGTCAGGAGTGGGCGAGAGAGAGTCGTGAGAAAACGTGGGAGACGAGGGCGCCGTAGAGTTCGGCGAGTTAGGACGAGAGCGCTTGATGTGGCGGATCGAGCTATGGTAGTGATCATCGCCGTGGTCCTCGCCCGAATGGGATCTCGACATGTGGTACGAGCTCAGGCCGGCAGGGTTGCCGCGAGGGTGGTGAGTGCCGTTGCTGTAGTACGGGTGGTGACGAGCCGAGTGGCCGTGACCGAGGTTCTCGCGCTCAACCTGGTGGGCAGCCTTTGCAAGCATGGAGATGTCACCGCTGCGGTTGTAGAGGTGAGAACCAGGATGGGGAGGAGCAAACGAAGCAAAAGAGTGAGGCGGCGAGACGTTGGGCGAGCCTAGGGTCGAGGTAGGAGCGGAACGAATCGTCTTGGGGGCAGGAGGGGGAGCCATAAGGCCCTCCGAGTGCATGTGGTGGGGCAGACCGTGGTGGACTGGGTGCTGCTGCTGGTGATGATGCTGCTGCTGGCCCTTATTGCCACGACGAGAGTTAGGGTTGTTGTGGATTCTCGAGTGCCTGGTCAGTTCATCGGAGCGGGAGAACTTCTTAGAGCAGCCGGGGAACTGGCAGGCATGAGGCTTCTCGCCAGTGTGAGTGCGGATGTGTCTGGTCTGATGCTCGAGGCGGTGGAAGGCCTTATCGCAGAGAGGGCACTTGTAAGGGCGAGGCAGCTCGGTCGTGGTGGTGTTAGACTCGGAAGCCTGGGAGGTAGGCAGAGGCCCGTTGGGCTTGATGACGCTGACTGCAGCAGAAGCCATGTCTCTGTCGCCTCGATGGAGGTTACTGCTTGGGTTAGGACCAAGAGGGTGTTGTTGTTGTGGTTGGTGGTGAAGCAGATTCGAGATCTCGACGGCTGACTGTGCTCGTTGCATGTGATCGATATGCGGCGAGCAGATCTCAAATATTTTGCGGGGAGGCGAGTACGCGGAGAGACGTAGAGGTTGATCTCGAGGCTGGAGCAGTAGAGCAAATGAAGATTGACAACTGCTGTCGAGTGTAAGAGTTGATTATTCGGTGCGTGTGCGGAAACGAATGTTGCAGGTGCGAGTTGTGGTGAGTGAGGAGGGTGAGATGTTGGCGTGAGTTTGGATGGAAAGAAACGGAATCTTTTTTTTTCTGCGTGGGGAGAAGGACAGGTTATAAAAGGCGGGCTTTGGGGAGGACAAGGTACACCTGAGCGAGTTTCTCGAGGTACCTCCCTCACCTACAACCTCGACAGGCCCTGGCCGACAGCAGGGACATGCTTGCGGCCCGCCGTACCTTCAAGCCTGGTGGTCACCTACTGAAGGAAGCCTACAGCGGCCTTGAACAGACTTCAGCGGGTGCTCTGGGGGGGAAGGGCGTGGGAGGAAGGCACAGTGGGGAGTGAGAGGTACCTGTTGGCGTTTGAAAGTCATGTACCTTCTCCAGTCCGTTTTTTTTTTTTTTTCTGATTTTTTTCCTGTTTGTAGGCGCAGTTTAAGTTTGGGCACGCCCCTCCCTGGGCCCCCATTCTCACGCCCCTCCCTCCCTCCTTTCCTTCCCCCCCTACGAGCCCAAAAACCGGGGCGGAAGCACTGCGGCATTCGTGGTACTTGTGGAGTTTGGGGCCACGCTGCACTGTCCGAGACAGCTGGTCTGGGGGAAAAAACAGCCCAGTCCAGTCAACGACCGGCCACTGGCCTGGGGGGATGCTGCTGTGTTTCCCACTGACTGATAGAGAACGAAAAAACAGCGGGCAGGGAAGGGCCTGATTGCGACGACGACCCCCCCAAAAAGCACAACCCCAGCCAGTCATCCAGCGAGGTGGACGAGCCCAACAGCACAACAGGCGGTAGCCTTGATGAGTGAAGGAGACAGCCAAAAGCATGAAAATTCTGTCCGACACCCCCCTTCTCTCCTCCTTCCCTCCCTCAAGTTCCAACTCGCTGCCCAGACCAGACGCCCTGCTACGGATCCCCCACCATCAATCACCGCACTCCTTTGCCCCCCTCCCCTTCCCCAGTGATACTGTTACCGTCCCCTTCGGCACTACGGCGGGCTGCCAGGTATGGCTGAGCGCCAGAGGATCCTCAGGTGAGATTTGGCAGCCCTTCCCCACCAACTTCCAGGGCCAAAGTCCTTGTCGAGGTATCTTTGGCTTTCCAGGCAGCAGGGCTCCAAGGGGCGGAGCAGTCGCTGTCGTGCTGGGCTGATTGGCCGCCATTCTAGCACAACCATCTCCCAGGCTCAGCCTGTACAGATACCCAAGCCAGCCGGCTAGGGAGGTATGTGTGTAGTTAACTAAAACTAGGCAGATAGGTGAGTCGTCGTTAGATAACTGCATGATACCTAGACAAGTCGGGAGATAGGTAGGCAAGGTAGATGATAGGGAGATGCCTCGCTGGCTAACATGATAGGACAGACGGACCGGATATGGCTCGATGGTTGCGACAGATTATCGCTCATTGCAGGCAGCACCATAACCAGTGAGAAAAGGAGACGACACCATCGTTTCTGTCCATGATCTGGCGGTTTCGGGTCTTTTTGCCTCTTTGGCCCAGGATTGGCGAGCCCATGGGGAAGCTGGCCCGGTTGCGTTCCATCGTCTGTCTCTGTCTCTGCAGCGTACTCCGTATTTTGGTACGTACTGCCAACTACCTTCCCTAATCAATGTGACGATGGGAATCTGGCTGAGACATACCTGGTACAACGCCCGCAGCCAGCAGGACCAGCGATCCCGCTGTACCTCCCCAGTAGCCCCCAGCTCCTTGCGCTTTCCCCGGCCTTTTCCCACACTCACCCCAGGCTCTCCCAAGGCTGGGCTTTCCAGGTACCTCGTCATCCCCTATTATCCCCCAACCCAGGCTGTAACAGGTTCGTCCCTTGCCCGGCTATTGAACTGGTAGTACTCAGTAGGAACGACAATCTCAGTTACACCAAGCGCACAGAACCACCATCGTCTTACCCCGTGCTCCCCCTAAATTCCACAGACCTCGTGCGAAACCGAATAGTAAACAGGAAGCGCGGAAAAAATTGCACATGAGCAGAAGGGTGCAGGGGGTTGATCGGAGCTCGGCCCGCGGCCATCGACGGCAAGACAAGCTAACTTGTGTGCTGGCCCGGGGTCGGGCCAAGTTCATTACTGCTGAGATGAGCTCGGTAAGTGGACGGGGGGGCAGGTACTACACACGGTGAGGCCTGCAGGAGGCATGGGGAAATAAGGAAAAAAATCAAGGGACGACGAAAAAGACCATCAGGAGTCATAATTTGGACTCAAACCACCTGCCGCAGGCGATGCCTTAGCGTTGCGGTAGACGTTGCATGACGGGACGACGGGCCAAGGTCCCAGTTGCACATATGTTGTTTTTTTGTCTGACGGAATTCAAGCTATAATATTACTACTTACATTGTACTAGGTGACGGCATAGTACCAACAAGCCTGCTGAAACTCTTATTAACGAGATTTATTAAATTAAAGTAGTAGGCACACAGCGTCGCATGTAGCAAATTTTCTCGCACCGCAGCTCACGGCATTCGGATCAGGATTGGGGGCCGCTGTTCGGTGAAATTCGAGAACCAAGCTTTGTCACTAAAACATTCACTTGATCCGTCGTCCACTCATTTCCCTTCATCCCAACAAAGTTCCAGTTGTTTTGTGGGGTGAAGCACGGCACAGCGCGCGTCTCGATCAATGAGGAAGCGTCAGGCAGTAATAATAGGATTTGGCGGTGGCTTGTTAGTGACGACGGGGTGGTATCTGCCGTTGCTCGTATCTGTAAAAAGTATTTGTAAAAATAGAAATAAACTAAGAAAGGGGACACTCGATGGTGGAAAGTTAAAGGCACAAGATACCAGTACATCGTTGCAGTCAACGACGAGTGACGGTTGGTAGTAACGACAAGTACAGATGCCAGGGCGACTGACTGATCATGTCATTCACACCGCAATACCATATCATGCCCCCCTTCATCACAGACGCCCACAGTCACTTGGGGTTACTTCGTCGGAATCGAAGAAATCGACTGCACGAGACCACTCGAGGCCACGCCAACCAAGGCCTTGAGCAATTGATCACCACCACCACCACCGACTGGCCCCTCCATCCCCAGCAATCTTTCGTCAGCGAATCTAGATGCAGCACGGCAGCAATTTTGGCCAAATTTTGGCCAGGGCAAGCAACAAGCCTGCCGGCCCCTTGGGCAGGAACACAGAGAAAGGGCATTTTAAGCACGATAGGCAACCGAGTAACTTGCCTCCCTTCCCCACATTCTATTATTTTTGTTTTGTTTTTTGTTTTTGTTTTTGTTGTTGTTTTTTTGTCGAACTATTCTTCATTTATTGCTACGCAGTATCTGTACACTTTCTGTTTCTGTCTGTGTCCGTAGTATCCGTATTCCTCACAAACTTGATCAGGCCCATACGGTTCCAGGTTGCGAGATATGTGGGGTCTCGTTCGGGCCAAAACCACCTACAATCGGACGACTTGGTGTGAGTGTGATGTGATGCATATGTATGTGTGTGTTGTGTGTGTGTGTGTGTGTGTGTGTGCGTGCGTGTGTGTGAGTATGTGGGTGTGTGGGATGAAGCCTGGTGAAGGTTTTTCTTGTCAAGAAAAAAACTCGGGTCGAAAACGGGCAAGTCGTTGCGTTGAGGAAAATGCGGCTGCAAATGTGCTGCAAAACACACAATTGTACGCTGGTGCCTTGCGTAGTCTTCCTCAAACGTCGTGCATTGCCATGACGAATTGTTGCGTGTTTTTGCTTGTCCATTTCTATGGATTCGGTGTTTTCATGTACAGAAAGAAATGCTCGTAAAATCATCAAGTGCATGCAGTTCCTCAACAACCCCTCTCTTACTAGGCAGGCTTGCCCAATGTCTCGCTTGTTGGGAGCGTGGCCATCCACATCATCCACGTACAGTACGTACCTGCAAACGGACTCCGTACCTATTCCGTGCACGCATCCTACCTACAGTACATCCATCCATCCTCGAGTCCCAATCTCTCTCACCCAAACTCGGACCCTGGACGCCATCTTACACAATATGGCTCTTGTCGTCTCTTCTCCTTTCCTCACCTCCCCCTTTTTTTCTTTTCCTCGACGCCTCGCTCGCCGCCCTGTCGCAACCCGGCCAAGTGGTACGTGACAGGTTATCCTGTTGGGAAAAGTTCCAGACCGACAAACGGGCCAGCCACCGACGCAGCCATCTGCTTCAGCTCTCTTGCCTCGTTTTCCTTTGTTTCTTTCCCGCCTTTTGATAGGGACAACCAGTTCGCCCGTTGACAACCCACCTACATAGGTATCGCGATTGGACAGGGGGCACATCCCTCTAAGATTGAAATGTCTCTACCTACCGTCTGGGGTCCCCAGGATACTCCAGCCTTGAATCAGCCAGCCAGCCAACCAGCGAAGTAGACAAGACCCTTTCTCCCTTGCGGGGTCTCTGTTATCTCCAGCGATTGGCACGGTCTGGCTTTTCTCTCCCCATCAGTACGAATTCTTCGTTTCGTTTGCCTGCGTTCGTCATTTCAGACAGGCGAGCAAAGACAACCACGACTGCACTGCCCACCTCTCGTCACACATGGCGTTTGTCTGACCCAGTCAAACCATCCAACCATTCTCACGCCGACAGCACCGAAGCAGGGGCGCCAGTTAAATTTTTCGTCTTCTTCCCGATGAACCCGTCGATGAATCCGTCGTCTCTTCCCGGCATGCTTGCTCCAGGCCGGTTCACATGTCAAAAAGTGCCAGGTGAAAACGTACCCCAGCTTATCGCCAAAGTTAAAAAGAACAGCTCA